CATGCTCTTAGTTCACTATATGTTGGGCTACCAACTAAAAGGTCAGCAGTTCAAATCCACCACCTCTATTACTCAAGAGAAGCACGTATCTGTCTCTTCCTGTGAAGAGTTACAGCCTCAAAAACCCAGTGGAGGGTCACTGTATGCAGAATTTACTCAACAGCAGTTGTTGTTGTTCTTGTTCTTGTTGTATGCCATCAAGTCAGAATAGACCCATGGTTGACCCTCAGAGGCAGTTAATCTCACAGGAGGAGATTGCCCATCCTTCTCCCATGGAGCAGATGGTGGATTCAAACCACATGCCTTTGGGATTGCAGCACAGCTTCTTATCACTATGCCACTATAGCCTCACATAGGAGTGGCTTTCTGAAGGGTTTAAACATACTCAGAGACATTCAGGAAGATATCACAACCATCAGGGTTCCCCATAAAGGATAAGATGTTCTAAAAAGAATAACTAGAAAATTTATCCAAAAGGGGGAGGAAGGGTAGAAATCACAGATATTAAGTGTCATGAAAATAAAATATGACTATTTTAAATTTAAATAGAGAAACTTGCAGTCAAAGAAATAGAGGAAATACCATAAATGACCACATCGGGGAATATAGCCTTAGGTTTATGGGATTTGCTAAAAGAGAAGCAGAGACAATGGAAGAAGAATAAGAAATAAAGTAATCCTTATAGAAAACATCCCCCAAAGTTAAAGATAGAAGTCTTCAAACTAAAACACCCAAATGACGCCAAGAAAAATGATGATGAAAATCCAGATACATCTTTTTCAAACTGAAAAGCATTAAGGATAATGAGTAGCTCCAAAAATGATCAAAATAGTAAAACAACAAAAAAGAATACCTACCAATAACAATTCTTCTGTCACAAGGAGGAGGACAGCAGAAGAACTGATGCTTTTTTTTTTCTTTTCCTACTAGTTTATTTATAAAATTCAAATACAAATTTGAACAAATTATTTCAATTTCCCTCAAACCCCCACCATCAAATTGTGCAATCCAATAATTCATCTCCCCTGCCCCCTGCACATCCACATCCCTCCGCTTCCAGCCTCTCCCACCCCTCCTGGATCTTTATACTCATTCTACAATAACGGTTTTATGTGATATTGATCCTTATGAGACTGAGTTGTTCACTCAGCATAATGCTCTCCAGTACCTCCCAAGTTAGGAAATAATTTGCAAAATTATTGCTCCTGTGTGCTGCATAGTATTCCATTGTGTGAATGTACATTAATTTCTCAATCCATTCGTTTGTGGTTGGACATTTGGGCTGTTTCCATGTTCTTGTGATGGTGAATAACTGATGCCTTTGAGATGTGGTGTTGGAGAAGAGCACTGAACATACCATGAACTGCCAAAAGAACAAATAAATATGTCTTGGAGAAAGTGCAGCTGGGTGCTCCTTGAAGGCAAAAATTATAAAGCTTCACCTCACATAATTTGGGCATGTTGCTAGGAGAGGCTAGTCCCTGGAGAGACATCATGCTTGGAAAGGTGGAGGATTGACACAAGAGAGGAATACCCTCCACTAGATGGACTGACACAGTGACTGCAGCAACGGGCTCGAGTGTGTCAGAAAGAGTGAGGATGGCACAGGATAGGACAGGGCTTCTGTCTGTTGTTCATAGGATCACTATGGGTCATACTCAACTCAACAGAACCTAATAACAAGAAACAAGAATCCGGCATTAGACTCTTCATCCTCAGCTGTGGCTGCTGCAGACTTAGAAAACAATGCTCACAACATCCTGGTGATTCAAGTGCATGCACCCCATGCCTACCACCCTAGAATGAAGCTGCTCTAAATTAGCATGCTGTTGTTGTTGTTATTGTTGTTGTTGGTTGCCTTTGAGTCGAGCATGACTCATAGTGACCGTATGAACAAAAGGCCTGAAGCCTCTCTACAACTATTGACATTTATCAAAGTTCACAGAGTTTTGGAGGTATGTTGTTTAGGAAATGAATGCCACTCCTAAAAGGTATGCATGCTGAATGTTAAAAAAAAAAAATCTAAACAGTCCTTAAAACAAGAAAAACACAGAACAGCATTGTAAACTAGTTAGAATAACATCAATTCAGTATTATCTGCTCAGAGGATTATCTGTTGTGTGGTCATATGCTTTCCAACATCTTTTAAAGCAGTGGAAAGAATTTATTCAAACTAAGCCTAAACTAGATGTCTAGTACGTCAGTCAGATGAAAAAGTTATTTCTCTAGGGAGCTCTGGTGGACTAGTGAGTAAAGAGCTGTACTATCAACCCAAAAGGTACATGGTTTGAATCCACCAATTGCTGTGAGGGAGAAAGCTGGGCCGTCTCCTCCTGTGTGATTTACTGCCTCTGAGAACTCACTCGAGGGTCAGCTATGGGTAAGTTCCAACTCCACAGCGCACAGCACAATGCTCATTAAAGGTGAAATAGGGAATCCAGAGATCTATCAGTTTGTTCTCTCCTCTACCCAACTTCTCTCTTTTCCTGTTTTGCTTTCTTTAACCTATATGTGTTTAATGAGATCACCCTATATTACCCAGAAGGACATTTCCAAGTTATTGGGAGTCTAACCACTGCTCCCTGTTGGCTTTAGAACATTCTTTATTTCCTGAACTCTTTACATTGCAATCCTGCACCATGAACTGGACACAATTCTTGCCTGCCCCAGCACAAACCTTGGGCCTGGACTTCAGCCTCACAAAGCACCTCCTCCCAGACTTTCTACTGAAAGTATAGGGAGGCTGGAGTATAACAGGGGAAGCAGCAGGAAACACACACACACACACACACCCCAATGGTCAACTGTACCCAGTAACTGTCACCAGCCATTCTCTATTTTAAATCAAACTCCTCAGAACTAAGACTCATCTCCTGAAAATTCATTCCAAGCTCCCTTCCATGGCCTCTCCATGAAGTACCAATTTAAAGAGTGTACAAAACCAGTTGTTAAGTAGCCAAGGTGTTTCCCAAGTAGTTGTTAACCCACTGATAGCATTTATACCACATAAACCAGCACACACTACAACCAAGGGGCTTTGCCTTTTGGAAAGAAGGTTCTCTAGCACACACTACTTCCCATGTGATCCCCACTGTTTCCAATCAAGAGAGTCAATGATGACTTTTTGGAAGATCACCAGGCCTTTCTTCTGAGGCACTTTTAACCTTTCTATTAGCAGAGAACACATGGAATGCTGCTTGATTTTGCTTTTTCTAAATTTAACAGCAATTAACTTCCCAAAAAAAGAAATCCTCCAGTCTCCTAGGACCACCTCTCTAAATGACAACCTCTCTCTTACATGACAGGTATTCTCTCTGTTGTCTACGAATAAATAAAAATATTATCACTTCAAATAGAAGTGGCTCTAATTTGGAGTTGCTGTTGTTACTGCTATGTGCCATCAAGTCACCTGCAACTCAGCAATTCTACATACATTAGCGATTAACCTCTTCTCAAGATGGTCTTTAAATTCTGGTGAGATAGATTCAACATCAAACTTTGGTTCTTGCGGATTTGATTTGATTTTCCTTAGCTTCGGTTTGAACTTGCAATGAATAGCTGATGGTCAGCACCTGGCCTAGTTTTCACAGCTAATATTGAGCTTCGCCAGGAAGCTTCGTCCACATTAGTCCATCTGATTCCTGTGTAGACCATCAGGTGTACAGTGGCCATTTATGTTTCTTATAAAAGGAATTTGCAATGAATAGGTCATTGATTGTACAGAATTCTTTCATTCTATCTCCAGCCTCATTTCTGTCACCAAGTCCATGCTTTCTGACTACTAATCCTTCTTCCCTGTTCCCAATTTTTTCATTCCGGTCACCCATTATTATCAAAATATCTTGGTTGAACACTCAATTTTTTTCCAATTGCAAAAGTTGGTGGAAGTCATCTATTTCCTCCTCCTTGAGCCTGGTTGTTGGTGCATATATTTGAATGATATTGGTATTAATAGATCTTCCTTGTATGCGTATGGATATTATCCTGTCACAATATTATGTTTCAAGATGAATCTAGAAATGGCTAGTGAAAAAGAGTGCCTCAGAAGAATGGCCTGGTGACTCACTTCCTACACGACAGCTGTTGAAGCCTCTCTGGCTCACAGTTTCACTCTGACATGGTGTCACCCTAAGGGCGTCATGAGTCGGGACTAGCTTGATGGCAACTGTAGCTCCTTTCTTGGACTCTGGTCCCGCTATCCCAGCCCACCTCAGATGTTCTCACGAGCCTCACACAACTATCTATAACTTGTACCTTCATCCCACGTCCTGGGACTGCTTTAACGGGATCTGAGCTTTCAGGGACTGGACTGCCTTCTGTGTCACTCTCTTCTAGGATAGCAGTCTCCTGCCAGGGTTCCCATTCAGACTCGTGTACTTTGGACAATGTGTTGCACAGTGTCCTCATCTAAAAAAGTGGGCATAGCAACAGTGCTGACCTCAAAGGGTGGCTAGGAGGATATTTGTACGCTTGCTCAGAATAGTTCCTGGCATAGATCAAGAACAACCGTGTGAGGTATTTGCTAAGAAAAATAAATACAATGCCTAAACTGTTGTTCTATAGCTTTAGAGGAAATAGTCATCCCCAAACAAAAAGGTTAGAAAACAAGAACAAAATAGACATCTAATTCAACTGAGTGCTGACAAGTTAGGGAGAAATGAGGACAAAAAGCCCTAGGAAGTTGATCAGACAGGGTTCTCAGGAGTTGCCGGTCACTGACCCTGCAGCAGGCAAGGCTCCAGGGCAGTAGATTCAGACAACCCCTATTTGTTAGCCCCACCAACCACCTCTGCAGAGACACTCTCAACAATAACCTTCATGCTATTGTTCCAAACAAGGAAGGAAGCTCTTGGGGCCCTCAGGTTGGGACAACAGACAACACTGAGGGATATAAAAGCCCTAGAGGCCAAGAGCTCCTCACAGACTCACATCCTCACTCTCTCACTCACTCACTCACACAATCCTCCCAGCTTCCCAGCTCACCTTCCACTCACCCCACCATGGCCGCCTCCACCGTCTCTGTCTGCTCCAGTGACCTGAGCTATGGCAGCCGCGTCTGTCTGCCTGGTTCCTCTGAGTCCTGTACAGGCTCCTCCTGGGAGATGGAAGACTGTCCAGAGAGCTGCTGTGAGCCCTCCTGCTGCGCCCCCACCTGCTGCCAGCCCTCCTGCTGTGCCCCCACTTGCTGTGCCCCAGATCATTGTGTGACTCTCATCTGCACCCCTGTGAGCTGTGGGTGCAGTCCCTGCCAGTCAGGCTGCACCAGCTCCTGTGAGCCCTCCTGCTGCCCGCAGTCCTGCTGCCAGTCCTCATGCTGCACTTCCTCCCCCTGCCAGCAGAGCTGCTGCGTGCCTGTCTGCTGTAAACCAGTGTGCTGCAAGCCCATCTGCTGTGTGCCTGTCTGCTGTGGAACCACAACTCCCTCATGTTGCCAACAATCTAGTTGTCAGTCCTCATGCTGTACATCCTCCCCTTGCCAGCAGGCCTGCTGTGTGCCTGTGTGCTGTAAACCTGTCTGCTGCAAGCCCATCTGCTGTGAACCTGTGTGCTGTGAACCTGTCTGCTGCAAGCCTGTCTGTTGCAAGCCCGTGTGCTGTGAACCCATCTGCTGCAAGCCTGTGTGCTGTGAATCTGTCTGCTACAAGTCTGTCTGTTGCAAGCCTCTCTGCTGTAAGCCCATCTGCTGTGAGTCCAGCCCCTGCACAGCCTCCTCCTGCTGCCAGCCCTCTGTCTGCTCCTTCTCTTGCTGCAAGCCCTCCTCCAGTGTGTCCCTCATTTGCCTCCCTGTGTGCAAGCCGGCCTGCTGTGTGCCCACCTCCTCTTGCTGTGCCCCGACCTCTTCCTGCATGTCCCTCATCTGCCGCCCTGTGTGCAAGCCAGCCTGCCGTGGCCCCTCATGTGGCCAGAAGTCCTGTTGCTGAGGGGGTACCCATTCCTCTGTGTCTCCATGTCTTTTGCCAGCTTCATTCAACACTGGTCTTTTCCATAATGGATAAATGTAGGCAGACCTCTCCTCCTCTGAGTCAGTGAAGAGCTCTGTGGCCCTTTAGATCAACCTGCCTGTGCTTTTCATTCCCTTTGCTGGCGATGGGAACACTCTCAACACCCAGCTCTTGGAAGTCTCCTATCTTGGATAGCAGCTCTTTATCCATTCAGTCTATACCACAAGCCTGCTCAGAAAGCCAATAAAATTTTCACTCAAACTATTATGGCTTTGCTCTCTCTGATTATTTCTAGTTGGCTAGGAGCCAGGAGCAAGTGTGTTTTCCCAGGCCCCCTCAGATGTGGTCTCAGCCCAGGGCTCCCAGCCTGCCAGCCTTGCATGGTGCACACTGCACCGACCTGGCACCCTTGTCCTGCCCACCAGTCCTATATGGTTCCTGGGATGGTCAGCCCCACAGTAACCTCACCTTTAGTGACCCAGCCCCACAAAGCCATCTTGGACTCAGTCTCTTGGGGAGGTCTATAGGATTACTGCTGTCCCAGGCACAGGTCTAGCAATTGTCCTTGGGGGCTCCTTAAAGGTTCCCTTCTCCAAGGGAGCCTCAGTGCCTTCATCATAATGGATGGAGAAGAAATTGAGGTTGTTAACTGTTACCACTTGCTTGGCTCTACAATCAAAAGTTCAAAACTCTTGGCACCAGCAGTCAGGAAATCAAAAGACGAATTGCATTAGGTAAATCTGCTGTCAGGGATTTTCCAGAGTACTGAGAAGCAACCTCATTCTAGAGACTAAGGTGCACCATATCCAGGCCATGGTCTTTGCAATTACTTGCTATGCATGAGAGAGCTGGACAAAGATAAGGATGACAGAAAAAGAATCAATGCCTTTGAGTTGTGGTGTTGGAGAAGAGTCTTGAACATACCACGGAATGCCAAGAAAGCAATAGGTCTGTCCTGGAGAGGGTGAAACTAAGTTTCTCCTTGGAGGCTAGGATTTGGAAGTTCCATCTCACATACTTTGGGCACATGGCAAGGAGGAACTAATCCTTGGAGAAGGACATCATGCTCAGAAGGGTGGCGGGACAGTGCAGGAGAGGAAGACAACTGATGAGATGGATTGTTCCAGTAGCCAGGGCAATGGGGGTAGGTGTATCAGAGTCAGTGAGACTCGCTCAGGACAGGGCAGGCTTCGGAGCTATTGTATATAGGGTCACTATGAGTAGCAGGTGACTCGATGACACATAACAGCAATGAATGAAGATAGGGCCTTCCAAGGCTGAGAGAAAAGAGGCAGATACAAACAGAGCCAGGAGCCTCACTCTGAACCCTCTGTCCAACCAGTCTCAGGGATCCCCAAGCCTCTCTTCCCTCCTCAAATTCCCTTCTCTTGCACCTAGACCCTCCCTGTCTGGGATTCTATGTGAGTATACTGAGCAGCTGTAATAAAGTTCCACAGACTGGGTGGGTAACTTGCTTTCTCACACTTCTGGAAACTAAAAAAAAAACCCCACAAAACCAAAACCTGATTGTCATGGAGTTGAAACCAAGTCCTAGCTGACCCTCTGGTGGGTTTCTGAGCCTTAAGATAGAAAGAGACTGACCATTTTTCTTCCACAGAGCAGCTGGTGCATCTTAACCACCGGAGAGGACTGGCCTTTGGGTTAGAGAGCAGCTCTCTGTCTTCTAGAGGTGAAAATGGGGTTCTGCAGTGAGGAGCTGGATGGGCTAGGACGAGGCTGGAAAGGCTGAGTGCCCTGTCCCTGCGCCTCTCTCTGAACTTGAAGGACTCATGAGAGGAAGTCACGCTAACTGAGAAGCATCGCGGAATAGAGACGCTGAGGAACACCTTTCCTCCTGGAGCCCCCTCTTTGCTCAAAAGCAACGTGGAAAGCAAATGATCAGGTACTGTCAGCAGGAGAAAGTCCCTCAGAAGTTTTGATAAGGTTTTGACTGACTGACTAGTGTTGTTGTTGTTGTTGTGTGCCATCGAAGTTACTCATAGCGACTCTATGTACAATAGCTCTGAACCCTCCTCTATCCTGAGCCAATCCTATCATCTCTGACACACCTACCCTCATTACCCCAGACACTGAATCAATCCATCTTATCGAGGGTCTTCCTCTCTTGCGCTGTCCCTCCACCTTCCCAAGCATAATGTCCTTCTCCAAGGACTGGTTTTGCCACATGTCAAAGCATGTGATACAGAGCTTCAGAATTCTCACCTCCAAGGTGCGGCTTGTTTTCACCCTCTCCAGGATGAACTTGTTTGTTCTCTTAGCAGTCCATGGTATATTCAACACTCTTCTCCAACACCACAGCTCAAAGGCATCAATTCTCTTTCTATCATCCCTAGTTTTGCCCAGCTTTCTGATAAATAGCAAGTAATTACAAAGACCATGGCCTGGATCAGGTGCACCTTAGTCTCCGGATTAATATTGTTGCTCTTAAGTACTTTGGAGAAGTTACTAACAGCAGACTTTCCCAATGCAATTCATCTTTTAATTTTCTTGCTGCTGGTACCAAAAGTGTTGATTGTGGAGCCAAGGGAACTGAAGCTATGAACAATCTCAATCTCTTCATTGTCTATCATGATGCTGCCAATCGGCCCAGTGGTGAGAATCTTTGTTTTCTGGATTTAAGCTTCAATCCATATTGGAGGCTGCAGTCCTTGACCTTCTGCAACAAGCACTTCAGATCTTCTGTTTCGGCAAGCAGGGTTGTGTAGGATTTGCTTATATCCAGGTGCCTTAGTTACCTAAGCACTGTGCTGTCAGCGGTATCCCAAATAGGTAGCTTTGAAAAAGAGAAAGTTCATTTCTCACAGTTCACACGAGCGGCTTGGCTATGCTGAGTCCTTCTTCGTCAACAGTCGCAAGCATTCCTGTTCCTTGGCTTACAGACAGTTCTCCGGGGAGGGAAGGCAGTCTGTCTTCTCTTCTGTATTTGTGGCTCCACATCTAACATGCATTTTCCATAACTTGGAGGTAATCACACTGATAATCCCCTCTAATTGGAATAACCTAATGAACATAATAAAGAAAACGCTATTTCCAAACAGCAGGGTGAGGCATCCAATACATACTGGGGCTGGGGCTGCTCAGGGGACACATTCAGATCCCTAACATTGAGGAATTTATGAATTTAACCTTCCTTCAGGGCAAAGCAGAGTATAGCTTATGGCAGAGGACTGGCTTGTCTCGCCAACACCCTGGCTATCTGTAGTGTTTTATGGGCAAGCCCACTTGCCCAGTGACAGCAGGAAATCTTTCTAACTGAATACATCACACTCTTTCCAGACTTTCAGAGAAACTGGACCTGAGTTTACTCAAGCATGGTGTTGCATCCCTGAGCGCATGGCATGTTTGCAATCACACAGTCTTTGAAAACCTCATGAGGTGAGCCCTACTATGACTGCACTTTTTTTATCATGATACAGTATTTTTTATTATTAATTTTAATGAACATTTACAGAGACTTTGGATTTCTATTACTTAATTGTTGCATTTTACTCCCGGCCAACCTTTCCCCACCCCTTTGCTCTTCTCTTTGAAAAGTAAAAGAACAATTAGCAGCAGAAGAGACTGAGGTAGGAAGAAGCAGGATTTTGATGCAAGTGCGTGTGAGGTTGAGAGGTAAATGGTAGGTGGTGGGTAGGGACAGGAACCACACGGTGCAGTAAAACAGAGAATTGGTTAGGAAGAGCTCTGTGGCCACCTGAATGTTGTTATTAGATACCTTTACACTGGCTCTGACTCATGGTGACTTTATGTAAAACAGGATGAAACATTTTCCAGTCCTATGCCTTCTCTCGCCACCATGGCTGTTTGAGCCTCCTGTCACTGTATCGATCCATTCACTGAGAATCTCCCTCCTTGTCACTATGCATGGTGTCTTCCTCCAGTGCTGGGTCCCTCTCAGTGCTGAATCCAAAGATAGGTGACGTTTGTCCACTCGCACGTCTAAGCACCATTCTGATTATACTTGTTGTTGTTAGGTGCCACTGAGTCACTACAGCTCAGCGTCCCTGGGAACAGTAGAGATGAGCTTGGCCCTGAGCTTCACTGTCCTCATGATCTCTGTCATGTTCAAGCCCATCACTGCAGTCACTGCGTCAATCCATTTCATGGAAGGTCTTCCTCTCTCCAATGACCCTAAACTTTTCCAGGATGATGCCTGTTTGCAAAGACTGGCATCACTTGACAACGTGCCCGAAGTGTGCAAGGCCAAGTTCTCACCTCTAAGAAGCACTCTGCTTGCTAAAAAGCTGAAGAACAAGAATGCCCATTTAGCCTCGCGCAAGCTATAGTATTCACAATTGCTTCATAGGCATCTGAATAGTGGACACTCAATAAAGAAGACTGACAAAGAATGAATGCCTTTGAATTGTGACAAATTTGTTCTTCTGGCAGTCCAGAGCATATTGGTTATTCCTCACCAACACCACAATCCAAATGAGTGAATTCTTCTTCAGATTTCCTTTTTCTTTGTTCAATTTTTGCACTCATATGAGGCAAGTGAAAATACCTCATATTTTGGATGAAAAATAGACCCCAAAAGATAGCCATGCTTTCAATCCTGAAACTTGTGGGTGTGACCTTGCTAGGGAGAAAAGGATTTTGAAGATGTGATTAATCTCGGGCTGGGGAGATCATCTGGATTGTCCAAATGGACCCTAAATTCCATCACAATGAAAATGTTCCTTACAAAAAAAGAGTGTCTCTCTCCCTTCCCCACCTGCTCCCACTCCCCTCACGCTCTCCCTCATTCTCTCCTTGCCTTCTCATAAGGACAAATACTCAATAAGACCATTATTGTAAAAGTACAAGGACAACTAGTAAAACATGTATGGGGACCCCAGGAGGCATGTGGGGGGAGTGGAGGGCTGAGGATAAGTAGGGAGAAAACCACAGGTTTGCATAGTTTGGTAGGTGGAGGGAGAGGGGAAGGAAATGGGAAGGATCTGAGTGAAAAGGCAGGGTAATGGTGGGCTAGGTCCAATGGTGGTTAATTTTCTAAAACAATGCATGAGAATGCTTGTATGAAACATAGTATGAATGACGAATAGTGTAAAACACAATGTGAAACACATTGTATGTGAACTTTGTAAGCAAACCATTTAAAAAAATAAATTCCTCCCCTCCTATCTGCCAGACACAAAATAGAATAAAACTTTATGTCCTTGTCAGAGCGGGGGAAAAAGAATAAAATAAAAACAAGAGCAGACTCCTAGGTGGCCCTCCAGCAGGTTTTCAGAGGCTCTAAATCTCATGAGAGGAGTTTGCCCATCTCTGTCCCCAGAAGCTGCTAGTGGGTTCAGACCTGCAGAGAGCTGTTGCCTTTCAATTAGCTGTATAGCTCTCTACCACCCAGAGCTCTCAGCAGGAAGGAGGTGGAGGTTTCCTGCAATACAGAAGAGGAGGAGCTAACTGACCACAGCCTCAGAGGTTGGAATGGTACAGCCACAAGGAGGAAAGCCTGAGGCCGCCAGAAGCTGGGAGAAACTGGGAGAGGCTCTGCTGGAGCCTCTGAGTGAGTGCAGCCGACACCTTGGGTCCACCGTTGCCCCAGAATACTGATTTCAGACTTCTGGTCTCCAGAACTCTCACAGAATAAGTTTCTCTTGTTTTAATTTGTTTTAATAAGTTTCTCTTGTGATAATTTGCTAAAGGTGCCACAGCAAACTAATATGAATATGTTTTATAAACACAAGCTTCATAATTTTCAAGTCTTCTGACCTAAAATGTCAGTGAGACACTGATAAAAGCAAAGCCCCACAGCCTTCTCTGAGGTCTGCTCCAGCCTTTCCAGCTGCCCCTGCCATTCTGGGCCCTGGTCCCCACAGGCACCTACTTGAGCCCACCTGTGCCTCATTCCATGCACTCTTGTCCTCGCTCTGCCACCAGGAGCCCTTTGCCCAGTGTCCAGGCCATCCAAGTGTACACATCCCTCCATTTTCCTCCAGTAGGAGAAGCCTCCCTGAGCACAGGGACCAGTAGCTGTCATTGGTACACACACACACACACACACACACACTGTGTGACTGTTGACCAGTTCAGTGAGCAACTCCAGGGTCCACAGACAGAAAGAGGCTCAACCCCAGCAGAAATGCAGCAAGCATGAGGATCCTGTGCCTTTGTGTGGAGCACAGGTAAGCGAATCCGCTTGCAGAAGCACCAACAGCCTGCTTGCTGACAGCTCTAGGGTCAAGAGAAGATCCCAGCCTCACAATGAAATACTCCCAGCCAGCCACTTCCCAAAGCCAGCTCACAAGATAGCACTCAGGGGTGCAGAGTCTGCACCTTGAGCTCTGTGGGTGCCCTCTGTCACTCTGCCCAGCCCTCAGATGCATCCAGCATCTTCCAACACATGAGCCTCCAATGCAGGAAGACTGGCCCAGAGCCCAGTGCACCACCCCACTCCTGTGACACAAACACAGTCCAGACACATAGGTTCCACTGTCACTCTCCTCCCATCATCTTCAGGGATTGGGACAAATTCAAAAAAGAGAAGTGTGTGGTCCAGAAATACAGAAGCATAGGGCTGAGTTGTTCCCAAAGCACAGAATCTGTCATCTATTCCTGCAGCCAGACCCTGTGATGGATCCCAAAAGATAGTATTGCAGCAAATCAACCCACAGAGAGTGCTCCTCCCATTCCCAAGCCTGGACAGGACCAAGCGCCCAGACCCCACACCACCAGGACTTTACGAGCAGGGCAGCGTCTCCCGGGAAAAACACTCCTAATGAGTGTTCCCAGAAATGGTTCAGACACCAACCAGGAAGGGGAAGGGCATTAGAAGCCTTTGTTGGGACAACACACAACAGAGAGGGATATAAAAAGCCCTGAGAGCCCAGATCTCCTCACACACTCACTCACTCACTCACTCACTCACTCACACACTCACTCACTCACTCACCCTCCTCCCAGCTCACCTCCTCCGTCCCACCATGGCTCACACCTGCTACTCTGGATCCTGTGTTCCAGCTGCCTCCACCATGTCCGTCTGCTCCAGCAACAGGAGCCATGGCAGCCGTGTCTGCCTGCCCAGTGCTTGTCCCAGCTCCTCCTGGGAGGTGGAAGACTGTCCTGAGAGCCACTGTGAGCCTCCTTGTTGTGCCCCCACCTGCTGCCAGTCCACCTGCTGCGAGCCCACCTGCTGTGCCCCAGTCTCCTGTGCCCCAGCCTCCTGTCTCACCCTGGTCTGCACCCCTGTGAGCTGTGGATGCAGACCCTGCCAATCAGGTTGCACCAGCTCCTGTGAGCCCTCCTGCTGCCAGCAGTCCAGCTGCCAGTCCTCATGCTGCACTTCCTCCCCCTGCCAGCAGGGCTACTGTGTCTCCGTCTGCTGCAAACCCATCTGCTGCAGGCCTATGTGCTGTGGCACCACCTCTTGCCCAACTCCCTCCTGCTGCCAGCAAACTAGCTGCCAGTCCTCATGCTGCACTTCCTCCCCCTGCCAGCAGTCTTGCTGTGTGCCTGTCTGCTGCAAACCCATCTGCTGCAGGCCTGTGTGCTGTGAACCTGTCTGCTGCAGGCCTGTGTGCTGTGAACCTGTCTGCTGCAAGCCCATCTGCTGTGGAGTCAACCTCTGCTCAGCTCCCTCCTGCTGCCAGCAGTCTAGCTGCCAGACCCCATGCTGCACTTCCTCCCTCTGCCAGCAGACCTGCTGCGTGCCTGTCTGCTGTAAACCCATTTGCTGTAAGCCCGTCTGTTGCACCCCTGTCTGCTGTGGGTCCAGCCCCTGCACAGCCTCCTCCTGCTGCCAACCCTCTGTCTGCTCCTCCTCTTGCTGCAAGCCCTCCTCCAGTGTGTCCCTCATCTGCCGCCCTGTGTGCAAGCCCGCCTGCTGTGTGCCCACCTCCTCTTGCTGTGCCCCGATCTCTTCCTGCATGTCCCTCATCTGCCGCCCTGTGTGCAAGCCAGCCTGCTGTGGTCCCTCATGTGGCCAGAAGTCCAGCTGCTGACTAGGAACACTCCCCCATGCCCAAGGCTAGTAGAGTCACCCTGACACTGCCAGCCTCACTAAACCATCTAGATTTAACCCATTGCAAGCTGTGTTCCAAATCTCAGTATGAAGGTTAGCTGACCTCATGCCCCAAAAACCAAAATTCACCCCATCTGATGTCTCACCAGATGCAAACACATGAGATTCCTCTCAAGTCATGTGTGGGGAAGGATATATCCTGGGATGTTCTGGCAACTGTGACCACCCACCCAGCCACACCTGCACCATCTTGTAGCCAGTCCCAGAGACCTCTGCCTCTCTTGGGGCCCCTTGTTGCAGCTGTTTGTCCCCCCATTCCAGGCATACATCATTTACTTCAACTAATAAATGTGTCCTCTTGGCCTCTAAGTAAACCTCTTTCCTGGCCTCAGTTTGTGTTTTATTCCCTGCCCTTGTCCTTAGGAACAGAAACTCCAGTGGGGGTACCTTGGTGACAAAATCCTGCATAAAGTGTGACAATGTCATAGTGTTCAAGCCCACCCAGGTGTCACTGCACCCCTCAGCTTCTGCCAGTGGCTCCTGGTGGCTCTCCCAGCAACACGCCACGTGAATCCTCTCTCTCAGGTCACCGTGAGGGCATCTGGTGGTCAGAGCTGCCACTGGCCTCCATATCAGGAGGTGGGCTGGGCTGATGCCCGCCTGGGTTCAGCTAGAAAGGGGGCTCTTCAGTCCGCCAGACCCCGAGCTGAGTGGTTTATACAAATGTGCCAGTCTTATCTAGTCAAAGGCCTTCTATGGCCCAGGTCTAACTCTGTGGCAGAAATCAGGGGGAAGATGTTGAAGGGAAGGTGGTTGTCAGGAGTCTAGATTTTGAGATCTAAGATACAGAGTCCCACCCCCTTGGGGCAGTTGTCCTTTAAAGGCAATTGGGGGACAGTGGCATCATTCTCCTTGAACAAGGATGGAGCCTTTAGGTGCCCTGGAGCTGCAATCAGCCCACTCTCACTCCACTGTCCCCTGTCGACACACCCACAGGGTCCACCCCCTGCCTTCAAGCCCTGGTTTGTCCCACCCTCCCCTCTCTCTCCCCATTCAAACTCATCTCATTGCCATCAAGTCAGAAGTGGCTCCTAGTTGATCCTCTAGGTTTTCAGAGGCAGGAGGAGTAGCATCCGCTTCCTAAACAACATGCCTCCAGAAACACTATGAACTTTGATAAATGTCAGTAGTTGTAGAGGGGCTTCAGGCCTTCTGTTCACAGGGTCGCTATGAGTCATGCTCAACTCGAAGGCAATCAACAACAACAACAACAAGAAGTCTCATTAGAAGACATTGCCCGTTTTTCTGCCGATGGATTCACACTCACAGAGGCACCACCTTTGGGTTAGCAGCAGAACTCTGTGAACTACACCACCAGAGCTCCCTCTCCACCCTCAACAGCCATGAAATCCAGCATAGCTGTTACCAAAGGGTCACTATCGAGAGGCATACTCAGATTAGGGTCCCCAAACAATCTCCCCAGTTTGGTCAAGTAAGACCTGGAAAACTCATTACTTTCAGAGCCTTTCCTAAGGCCTGAAGGGAGATTTTCTGATCTCTTTCTGTTCTCCTTCCAGCAAAGCAGAGAAGGGCGGGGCTGCACCAGTGCCAGGTCTAACTCATGCCAAGGGCTCCAGAGTCCTTCCAGAAAAGGAGGAGTCTGCGGCTGAGGTGGTCAGAGGCACCCCTGGTGACCTCAGAGCACCCTCCTGGTGGATCACAATGTTTATCCATCAACCATAAACCCTGTAGCCCCCACCTAGCACATTTTATAAGGCAGAGAAATAACTTTCAGACACAGTTCTCAGCTCACTTTTCCTTACTTAACTTTACTCTCGTCAGAAGCTCGCCAGTGACACCACTAGAGTTGATGTAATTCGTGGTGCTACCCCTTCCCTCCATGGACCTGCAGTGCCAAGTATACAGATCTTTAGTAATGTGTATTACCAATCTCAATCATTATGTATCAATATAGTTACAATTGCTTACATGTATTCTTTCTTAGATTATATGAATATTGTTGTCATTGTTGTTTACTGTGGACTCCTGTCTCTCCAGCAGGTTTTCAGAAGGTGTAAATTTCACAGGGGGAAATCGCCCATCTTTCTCCAGCAGAGCAGCCAGTGGATTCGAACCACCACCTGACTTTGGGTCTACAGCACAACTTCTCACCGCTAGGCCAACAGAGCTCCCTAGAATGCTAACAACAAAATCGCTTTGTAAAATCTTTCTGCACTGAATTACATTTTTCAAAACCAAGCTGAAGCCTTTTAAAATAGTTCTCCTATTCCCTTAACTACTAATTTGATTTTTTTTAAAAGTTATTGATACAGCTTCACAAATATTAATTATCACAATATTGTTGCTAAAACACCAGAAAAATCTGACCAAAATAGCTATTATAAAAACACTGGCGATGAAAATAGCACAGGCTTTCAAACAAAATCACTAGATTCAAAGCATCATAATAAAGTAATAAAGATAGCTTTAACTGGAGGGAAGTTGTTGTTGCTGTTGTTGTTAGGCGTCGTCTACTCAGACTTGAATGTGCAACAGAAGGGAATCCTGCCCAGTCCTCATCTTCACCACCCCCACCGTCCGGAGCGCATTGTGGTCACTGAGTCAGTCCATCTCATTGCGGGCCTTCCTCTCTTTCACTGACCCTCTACTTTTCCAATGTCCATCATTGTCTCATTGCACTAGTGGTTGATCTGAATGACCAGAAAGGTACCTGCTTTGTTTTAGCAGTCCCACTGCTTGTAAACTATTCCTCCACCGCTCCCTTTGAAGATTACAAAGAATAGGCAACAGTATAGGAATGAAACACTAACTCCATGCACATATAGAAGTGGAAGCAACTAGAATAGGAGTTCATTCTTTCCACACACCTGAAAGCCATTTCCTTGCTCCACTTTCTACAGTTTCTAAGGAAATGTCTTTGCAAATCCCAAGAAAGTATTTTAGAAAGATCATTTCGAGAAGAAAACAAGGTAATTTGGAGGCAGATGATTTTCTTGGTCCACACTCCCTTTACAAAAGCTGAAATCCTTCCTTGAGGTTTATGGAAATGTGCGATGGTCCCTCTTGGTCCTCAGCTGCTGAGACTGGACTAGTTCTTCTTGCACCACACCCGAGACCTCATGTCCTGGGAAGAGACATGTTCAGGGCCACTCTGGCCACTACACAGCTGAGGCCACTATGGCAAAAATGGCAGGAAGCAGTAGCCTTAGACTCAGAGCAATCTACAAGTCACTGGCTGGCCCACCAGGCCAAATAAACCTGAGAGAAAGGAAAATCCGTTCCTGGGCAACGGCGTGAGCAGCCCTAGATTCTAAAGTACTAAAAAAAAAAAAATTGTTGCTATAACTACAAGCGATAGGGAGCTCTGGTTGTCTAATAGTAAGAAGTTGTGCTGTCAACCCAAAAGAAGGGACTTCAAACCCACTAGTGGCTTCAAGGGAGATAGATGGACACTCTCCTCCCATGTGATTATAGCCTCTGAAAAGAGGCTGGAGGGTCAGCTATAAGTTGGTTCTGACTCAGAGGCACATAGACAGGGGTTTAAAAAAACAACAACAACATTGTGGCGCTTTCTCAAAAAGTTGCAAATAAAGATACCATTTGACCCAGCAATTCCACTACTGGGAATATACCCTAAAGAGACCATAAATGACA